GAGAGAAAGTTTGTGCCGCTGCTAGGGCCTCTGGACCTGGTAGCACCTCTATTCTCCCTGGGAACTGGCTATTGGCTGTTTGTGTCGTGCTTTCAAAACCCTCAGATGGGTCTGCTGGTAGGGTATTGGCTAGTTGTCGAGCTAGATGCTGTCCCAGAGACCAAGGTCCTCGGTTGCTGCTTTCTGCCCATTGTCGGTTCCCTGGGGTCTGCTCCCCAGGCTGGGTGTGCTGATCCCCTTCTCGGAAGCTCACTGGGAGGATCTTTTTAGCTGGGTGATTCTCCGGTAAGCTGAGCAGTCGGGTGGTATATCTCAATTGCCGGGCCTCCAATAGGGCCTCTGCTGGCGTTAGGCCTGCTTCACGGACGAGTGGCCCTACAGGAGTTGATTTTAACATGCCAGTAATAGCACGGGCCTGTCGATTTATCATCAACTGTGTGCCTGCTAGCCGATCTTTCTGGCCCTGCCACCAGAGTTCTGCTCCATATAGAGCTACTGACTGCACCGCTGCAACTTGAACCTGGCGGGCCAGTCCTGGAGCGAGTCCATGACTCTGGCATAGGCGCTGTACCTGATGCTCTGCAGCCCGTGCCTTGCGCATACAGGTCTGATAGTGGACCTTGAGGTTTAGCCCAGAATCAAGCCAGACGCCAAGCCATCGGGTTGCCTCTGGGTTGAAGGGCACATGGTGGCCATCTACTTCCACTTGTGCTCGTTGAATCTGATCTTTCAGTTCCTGGCCGCGCTTGCGGGTAAGCAGGACTGCTTCTGTTTTCCCTGCATCAAACTGGACCACATTTTCATTGCCCCATTCAATAGCCACCCTGGCTGCTTTCTGCAGTTTGTCACAGACTTCTTTGACAGAGTGTCCTGAGGCAAGCAGACCTATATCATCTGCAAAGGAAAGAGACTGGATGCCAGTCACACTCCTCTCAATCACCTCAAACACACCACTGAGGTAGATGATGAACAGAATGGGTGACACTGGTGAGCCCTGTGGCACTCCTGAGTTGATTGGGTGTGCTGGGCACTGTGTGTTGTCAATCTGCAGCTGAACCCATCTGTCAGTCAGGAAGGACTGAACCCATCGGATCAGGTCCCCATCCAGGTTGAACTCAATCAGTCGAGTTATCAGTCACCTTGGATTCACATGGTCGAATGCTCCTTTTACATCAAGGAATAGCGCTCCCACCAGCTGCCGGAGTTTCCAGGCTTTGTGGGTGTTCTGTATTAGACATGCCACTGCATCAATTGCACTTCGCTGCTTGCGACTTCCCATCTGTCCTGGGTGTAGTACTCCCATAGTCTCACAGTGGCGGGTGTTATGGGGTTCTCGTACGAACCCAAAGGATGGCAGTTTGGCTAAGGCCAGCACAGAACGCAGCCAGCAAGGGGACCGAAACGACTATTGACGACCTTCGTACGATCCCCTTACATGAAGACTATCGGTGACCTTTTCGGTCAACTCCTGACCTCCGAGAACACTATTTGGAATCTCATTCCCGTACGACCATAAAAGACTGCTCCCACCTCTACCCTGTTTGTTTCTTCTTCAACGATTCCTTCTTGTATAGTAAAGGGTAGCTTTAGGTTAAGACAACTTGAGTTAAACCCCTAACACCTGGATCCATATGGCCTCCCCGGCTAGGTCTTCTGATGAGCAGGAGTCTTCCAAATAAGGCCTAGATTGTGTTCTTGTTTGCCAATCCCCCTTGGCTTCCTCCAGGGCTTGTGGGTTGGCTTGAAGTGTCTGAATCTGCCACCCTGTCACCTCCTGTGAAGGTGTTGCGGGTATTTGCTCCAGGGAAGCCCATTCCATGATTATCAGTTCATGATCTGAGCCGGTTGGGTGTCCTTGGTCGATCGTCCATGTTTCCGTTCATGATCTGAGCCGGTTGGGTGTCCTTGGTCGATCGTCCATGTTTCCAGAGGCCCCATACTAACCGTGGTTAGAGCCAAGTCGATAATCGAGATCCCTGGGGTTCTTTTTGGTCGAGTGGGAACTCCCAGTTCATTGTTGACATAGAGGCCTGCTTCATCTATCAGGTCCTCCAATGGCCCAGCGTTCACTCGGGCTCTCGCAAGAGGGTTCCACAGTGGGCTATGAGCGTTGAAATCTCCGACAAGCAGGCATCTTCCCTCAATCACCTGGTCCCATTGCCCATCCTCTAGTGCTCTCCTCTGTCTCTCATTCCCCCCATGCCAACAATGGCTGATTCCCAGCCAGTTGTCATAGCAGTTGACAATTCGGGTCCTTCGTACTTTCTCTCGGGCCCGATTCAGCTCCCATATATCCATTGCCATCAGGTATGGGTGGTCAAGGAGGTCTGTTCGGGCTTCTACAATCACCTTACTTACTAGGTCCCGCCGGATCGCAACCGCCACTCGCCGGTCTCGACGAGATCCTGATTCCGGCCAATATATCTGGTATCCTCCATGTCGGAACTCCGTATCAATATAGGGTTCCTGTAGGCATGCTAGTCCCACCCCTAGCTCCAGCCCTGCCTCCAGAGCCGCAACAGTGACTGCATAGGTCTTGCGGCAATTATGCTGGAGTAGTCGCATTAATGGGCTGTTGACTGCCTTGGGGTGCTAGTGCCCCTCATCTCAATGTCCTCCTCTTCGCCAGTTGTTAAGCTAGGCCCTAGATATCGCTGGGTTTGGGGGCTGTTGGGAGCTGAGCTGCTCCGTGGTCGTGATTGATGCTGGTCTCGGTTAACCACAGTGAAGGTGAACCCTGGTGAACTTGGACTGGCTGGTTCTGGGCTGGTCTCTTGTTGGGGGCTTTCAACTGGCACAACTATATTCTTGGACTCTGTGTTTTTCCTTCTCAGTTCCTTCCTTGCTGCCCGTTTAGCAGGACAATTCCCTGCTGTTGCTGGGTGTGAACCGCTGCAGATGCCACATTTGGCTGGAGTGTGTTTACAGGCGCTTCTTGGTTTGGCTGGGCAGTCTACTACCCGGCAGACATGTTCAGTGCCCTCATGGGGTCCCGCACATATAAAACAGCATGGTGGGCGGTCCCCACAGGCTTTGAAGCTTCGGTGGCCCAATTGGCAGCATCTGGGGCAGACTGTATCTACTCCTGTTTCCCAGTACTGCTCTGTCCTGTACCGGGATCCTCCGAAGCGAATGCCATTGATGAGAAGCCTCCGGGCCTCCTCCAGTGAACCAACTGTAATAACAATAGTTGAGCCCTTTTGGTTGCTGTTGTACAGCTCCTTTGAGCTCCGGAGCCATGTTGGGTTTCTCTTCAACTGGTATTCAGTGCCCAGCTCGATCTCTTCACGTGCCAGAGCCAGGCCACATGTGATATAACGTTTGATTGGGACGCCATGAATCTTAACACGGTACCATTGTTCTGGTAGTTCAACAGATATCACTGCTGGGTCTGCCTGTCGAGCCGCAGTTACCAATAGGTCTTTATAGTCAGGTATAGGCCTCAAAATGGTCCGATTCAGGTTCCAAAAGTCGGAACCTCGAACCTGAACCTCAGGGTCTCAGGTTCCAAATATTTGAACCTGACTCGGATCGCGGCTCCATCAGGTTCGACTCAGGTTCGAACCTGACAGAACCTGATTTGCATAATTCTGCCAAGAGTTTCCTTTTTTGAACGCACAAAACTGATGATTCATCTTGGTTTTTTACTGTAATCTACCACTGTTTTGGTCATTACATCCAGGAACAGCGTAATGTAGCCATATTTCTTGTGAAATCATATGAATTACATCTGTATATAGAATAGTTAGCATAGGAAATATT